CTACCCAGAGAAACACGTAGTATTAACTCTCTTCTTCAGTCACATGAATGCAGAATGTCAAATTTCAATTGCTCTTAGATCTTATTCTCATCCTGCACACCACCAGAACTGTTCTGTGCAGCATCAATCCTCAGTATCTGATGGCAGTCGTGACTGTTGCCTACTCCCTATACACTAGTATCTCTTGAAGAATTATTTAAATGTCATCTGCAAGTCTTGCAGCTAAACCATCAGGGAGCTTCAATTTCCACTGTGGTCCATCATCCACCTTCTACCCCTGAGACTGTCATCAGGTGAGACATCCTGGAGCAATGCCAGCTCTCTCCTGCACTTTTAAAGTGGCATTTCTCTTAAAGACAGTCCATCCTGCAGGCAGGGATGTTGGCAAGTAAGACAGAGTGCTTCCACGTGCTTGTAGGTGCGCTTGCTCAGAGATGCAGAGCAGCACAGCCTTACTACACTGTGAAGACATCAGAACAAAGCATAATAATTAAAAGCTAATTAAACTGTGGGCTGTCAAGAGGTCACCATGCTCACTGGAAAAAAAAAAAAAAGTTTCATTGCCTCTCTGTACTGCTGAGAGATGCTTTGCTGAAAACACCATTCCATTGTTCAAGCCTGCTTTACATGTCTGAGAGGGCTTCAAGGCAGCAAGGTGGACTGATGTTATACATCTCCCCAACTTCTAAGTACACAGGATGCCAAAAGGGAACAAGAGAATCAATTGTAACAGTAAACCCTATTCTGAATGTTGTTACTTATCTCGAAGAAAAGAACTTTTCAAGGAGAACCTCATGCTGAAGTTTGTGCTGACATGCCCATGCCAAGATCAGGTCAATTAAACTAGGGTACAAAAAAAGATCTTATCGTCACTTGAGCAATTAAATATGTGAGTGCTAGGAGCTGGTTAACAGAGCCATTTAAGCAAGGTATTTTAAAGCCTAGTTCTTAGCAGGAAAAACATGCACGTTGCCAGAAATAAACGTGTAGTAATGTCCAGTAAAGTTGTACTCATGCAGAGAAGCCATGTAAGAAAACGCTGAACATCTCAGAGGACAGAAAAGTTATTTATTACATTAGTGAGAGCAATAATATGACTAAATGTATATACAGTGTATATAGAAGCATACCCAGAGAACTATGTGACTATTTAAAGCTAGACTTTGCCCAAGTTATTTGGAGCAACACATCCTAAACAAACAAAGAGTAAAAAGTCCCCTAATAAATCCACAAAATCTGTGGTTTATAAATCAATACTAAGTTAAAACTAGAAATCCTTGGTGATGTTTCTTGACTCCCAAGCTTTGCCTGCCAGATTTTCTATGGAATTTCAGTTTTTAGATAGATTTCTGTAAAGTAGAACAATTAGAATGAAGTACCTTTAGGAGTTCCTGCCTAGCTTTTCAAACTGCAGAGAAGGAATGCCTCCTAGGTAACAATACAGGCCAGGCTTTACAGTTAAGCAAAATGGTGCATTACATTGGTGTTTGCAATATTCTCTTTCCTAAGACTGGCTACTGAAATTTGAAATCAGGCATTCAAAATTCCAGAGCCAAATTAAGGTTCACAATGTGCCACTCCCCCAGTAAAAAGGGACAGAATGAACGAGATCAGATGCAGGATTTTTATAAAGGACAACTGTGTTTTTCCTACTCCAATTCCATCTGGCGTACAGCTGAACCTATGGATTGTGGCCTGACACCTCTACTTTGCAGTGAATCTTTCTACCTAGGAAGACATAACTTCAGTCCCTTATGACATATCATCGTTAAGTCTTCAGGTACTTCTAAGGAATGGCAAATTCCATAACAGCTTTTCTTTATCAATGATCACAGATTGATCTTTTGTCTCAGAAATTTGCTTTTTGTGCTCAGCAGCTTATTCAACAGTATATTGTTTCAACTTGCAGAGCATTAAAAATGTTTCTTCATACATTTTACTAGTTTCCTGCAGAGGATAGATCAAGGAAATACTATTATCCTTTCCCTCCCTGCACCTTTTTGCTAGCTCTTTTCCTCTATTTCAAGGCTTACTTTAAGACACCCTGACCTGAAACTTTGTGTAACAGTTAAGTGGCTGAGGTTATGAATATTAAGTGCAAAGAAGAGAAGGGAAAACAAAATATTTTTATTCAGACAAATAAAAAACACGAGCAGAGTTTTGACATGTATTTAACACTCCCACATAACGTTTTCAAAGAGACTGGTGAGATCAGTTTTCATGTACCTTGTCCTTCCAATTGGAAGTTAGGATTTAGCACTGAGTCACTGAGGGAAGTTCTTCAGATTGGAATAACCAGTATAGGATCTTGGGTTACAAATTCGTAACCCAACCCCCATTCTTGAATTTATCTGGCAAATTAGCACAACAGTTATTTTGGGGAACACTGGCTTTGCAGGCTTCTCTAACATTTCCTATTCATTTAACAAAACAGAGGCATCAGAAACAGTAATTAGGTAGAAACAGTTATATTGTAGAAAAGGGAACTTACTCTATTAGACAAAACCTCCTCAATATGGCTAAATAGACTTCTAAAGGCTATGTTATTAGCCAAGCCTGCAAAAAGTTCCAGCTGAGATTGGTATTGCCATTCAGCTACAACTAATTTAACGTGAAAGATTTTGGGGAGAAAATCATAAGTTTCTGTTCAGAGAATTTTAGCAACAGTACAAGGTCATAAACCAAAAAAATCCTATTTGATGACACCCAGCTTTTAACCTCAAAACTTCATAAGGTGTGGTTTTGCTGTGGATATCTCTTTTGCAGAGATAGAAACTTGCTCAGCCACAAATGCTTTTCAAGCCCATGGACTTGGTTGCTAGTTTAATTCTCTGAACCCCCACTTTATAAGGGGCTAATGCTATTGACCTTGATGACCTTTCCCAAAGGGTCAGATGTGCATAGGAATGATACCATGATGTAACCTGGGTTCACCCTGTCAGTACCCTGCTGCAGAAGGGTGTGCACACACCACCACCCTCTAGTCCTGCATGGAAAAGCCTGTGATGTGCCACACAGGCAGCCACGCCTTCCATGTGCTGTCAGAGCTGGAAAAAAACCTGCAAAGCCTGCAGGAGCAGAGTTGACTTGCATCCACTGCAGTTTTCTTTCCTGATGCCATGATCTACTTTTTTATTTTTCAAAAGTGGATTCCCTATGCAAAAACAAGCAGAGTTTTTTTCTGGACAGAAGCCATTCTTTCCATTCCAACGGAACTTTTATTTCAAATACATTCTTACAATAAAGCCATATTTTGTTATACAAGTAGATAAACCCAGGAGACAAAATATTCATGTATTCCATTTTAAAATATTGGGATCAACTAAATAAACTGTAGCCATTCCCATTAATTTCCTACACGATGTGAGGAACTTTCCAGGGCAATGGAAATAAAGATGTAAACCAAGTCATCCAGGGAATTAAATTACGGTCCAAGGAAATTCGTGACAACGCCATAGAAAAGTGTATCTGCTCATTCTTTAGGCTTTTTGAAGGGTAGGGTGGCATAAGTTTCTTTATAAACTCAGAAGTTTTTCATTGAGAGCAATCTGTGACTGTGTGAGGTTTGCCAAGTAGGTTACCATCAGTAGGTCCTGAGAGGGGAAAAAAAAAAAAGCAATGGTGATCAGAAACATTAATGAAGATGGTAGCCCATTAGAAAGTTGCAATTTTAACACCTGTAAAGCAGTTTACAATTGGCTACTAGGAATACTGTTAGTCCTGAAAGTCCTGCACTGAGGAATACCTTCCTCACAGGAAGGTGGTTTTGGTATTCCTAGAATATAAAACACTGCTTGTGAAATTTTAACTCCGAGTTCACCCATGTTAACCAGGCAAGTCAAAGGGTATAAGCACAATTAAAAATTTGTCCTGGTCTTGCAGACTGTGGGTGAACAACATATTCAGAAACTTAGCTTTTGCTTTCCAAAAGTCTGTTACAGAAATAAGGTAGCACACTAAAACCTTCTTTATGTTTTAAGTGATATGCAAGGAGACAGAACTTCAGCTCAGGCAAAGGGAGCTGGCAAGTCAACAGTTATCCTGGAAATCAACACTGCTTTAAGGTTGGCAATTCATATTATCCAATCTTCTGAAAGAAGAACTGGTGCCAACTTTCAGATTACTTGCATAATTCCCACATATTTAAAACTTATTCTCTAATTTGCAGTTGCTTGCAAGATGAGCTCCTTTATCCACCTTAGCTCTTAAAGCATCAAACTACTGACAAGAGAGGACTGTATTTTCTGTTAATGTGTTTGTACAAAAAGATTGTTCAAAGTCCAATTTGTGTCTGTACGACAAATTTTCAAAACTGCTGCCAATACACTGTAGAAATGACATGATGAACTTACATTGATATTGCTGTTCAGCATTGTCTCAAAGTCCTCTGCTGAAATCTTTGGCACCTGGTTAATAAGATCCATCAGGAAACGCCCAACGGTGTTGTCAGCAGCCAAAATGCCAGACTAAGCATAAGAAACACACACTTCATAATGAGTAAAACTCAGAAAGTTTATGGCCCAGAGAGAGAATATATAAAACAAAAAATAAGATGCAGAAGCCAACATCAAACTTATTTGCTGGCTCGTAAAAATCTGGCCTTACCAAAACATCCTCTGCATACTGCAGCACCATGGTCAGGGTATCCTGAATCCTGGCTGATGCTGACCCCACCTGCTGCAAGTCACTGGACAAGCCAATCACTCGATTAGGGCTAAAACAAGTCTTCATGATCAGATCCACTGGAAGCAAAAGAATGCTCAGTGAAAAACCTGACTGCCACAGAAAACGGTTCCAATCTTTAACCTATTGAAGAATTTTAGGATAGCTTCACCAAGACAGTCTAATTCCCAGTAGAATTCCCAGAATGACATTTTTACCAGGGTAAAAAGCATTTCAGCAGCATCCCAACCACAGTTATAACCAAAATAGGAAGAAAACATTCACCTCCTATCCGCTCTGTATCATAATAAACGTATTTCACTGTTAGAGGTGTGAACATCACGCCCATAGTTTTACCAGGGACTCCCATTGGAGCACTAGGGAAAAAAAAAAGAAAGAACAACGAAATGTTTTCAGTGTGGACACATTTAAGGGAGGAAGTAGTAGATTTCCAGTCTCCATGATCTCTGTTACCACCGAAGTGCGAATGCGAGCAGGTTACTCATTCATGCTAGGATCAGCAGCATTAAGACAACGGAAGACTAAGGAGAAGAAATCAGTCCTGGCTTACTATTAATTGCTTATTTTCATCCAGGAATATTCCTAGCTGGTCTGACATTTGCCAGCATGAAGGCATAAAGGGTTAAGTACTATCTTCCTTTTTAGCCACTGTTCCTTCTTGCTTATAGAGCGGGTATTCTATCCTGAAATACTCCACTCTTTGAGAAATCACTTAAGAAACAAACAATTATGACAAAAATTAAAGTACAAAGCACCCTCAACACTTTTGCTGTTTCTATTATTCAAAGGATTTGAAGTTCATTTATGCTTTCAGTAAGATGTCATGGAACTGCTTTGTTTTTGAAGATGCACAGTCAAGAAGCAGTACAAAAACCTGGGTTTTATCCTGAAAGAAGAAAGCTCTTCAGCCAGTACTGGGAAGAATAGTTATGTAAACCAGTTTGATTTCTCAGTATTTAAACTTCATGGCTAATTGATCAAAATGGAAGGTCTTAATGGGAAGACTGAACAAGAAGATGCTGTTTCAGTTGTTTTAACTGCACTAGTCCTTCAACTTGTATCCATAAACTGCCAAACATTAAACCCCAGCGACTACAGGCTGTCATTCAGACAGCGCGGTGAAAGTCAGCGGCACGTGGGATGTATGAACCCTGTGAAATGTCATTAAGATGTTCAGAAAAGTTAAAGTGAATCAAGTCACCATTGCCAAAATTCAGAGACGCAGCCTCCCGGCGTACCTGACGTAGGCTTTGATGCTCATGCGTGAGTTCTGGAGACTGGTGTCCACAGTGAGGTGGATGGGGTTGTGTGCTTCCCGGCTGTAGTACTCATGGATCAGGACAGAGTGTTCTGTGATGTCGTGGCCTGTTGCATACCTTCAAAAGAGCACAGGCTGAGGAACCATTTTTCCTACCTTCAAGCGCCCCGTGTTTCAGTATTGTTGGTCTTTAACAGGTTTGTATCCTAAAACGCCAATTTCCAAACACTGAGCTGCAGAAGCACACTAAATACAAGTGTTTTAACTAGAATAGTTGCAGTTTTATGGTCATCTGTCCTAGAATTGTAGGAATCACAGGACGAGCACACCCCTGCCCAAAACATGCACAGGGCCAGTGCTGTAGTACCAGCCATGCAGAGTCAGTACAGTTGACATCAGACACCCAAGATTCGGTTCTCTCTCACAATGTTCTGGACCAACTCTATTTCTGTGTCAGTCAAAGCATGCCAAACAAATTTAGACCAACCAAGTAGATCTTCCACAAATGAAGCCTCCCTCTGCAGGAGGTGTAACTCGTTACTCTGGCTCCTTTAGCTGCTCTGCAATTAGCTTCTCACATACACAGGAAGACTCCCGTCATCAGACCTGCACTGTAGTGTGCCATTAGAATGCTGTGGAGGAGCTTTGCTCCACAGGAACAGAACTAAGCTGTCTTGTAGAATCAGAGAAGCATCAAAAAACTAACAAAGCTGCCCACACACTCAGACACAGACTGTTTCTTACACCCTACTGATGTTGCTTTGCCTCTCCCACAGAATACTTCCACCGCTCCCCAGCGGAGAACTTTTGCACGCTCGAGCTGGTACCACTGATTCCTCCTGAGGCCTCTGACACTTGAAAATACTCTTTTGTGTTCTCCCTTCTTTCTAATCAGTTATCTTCCACACTGCAGATGGTATTAACAGGTGGCTAAGTTCTAACAAAGCTGTGCAAGCATTTTCTAACTCGTCACTCTTCTGTGACACCTGTGCTAGGGATAAACAAAAACAAACCCTGGAAGTCTCCAGTACCATCTTTTCCTCTTATGAATTCCAGGAGCTTTACACTTGACTCTTAACAAGAGTTGCAAGATCCTCCTGTCACAA